TTCTGTGTTCCCATATCACCTAAATGTAGCGAATTAAAATACTCAACAACTCTTCTTTGCTTTCACAAAATGCAACACTGAGTGTGCTCTTGGTTTTTCATCATCTGTGTTGCAAATATTTGGTTGTTAAAATGTGCAATTTGACATCAATATACTACATCGGTCACTACTTGCAGTAAGTATTATACCAATTTCTAATTAGATCCTAAATCTACTGTATGTGCTTGTATCTGTCCATCAGGATATAATTTAAGGTATAAGGAAAATTCTTTGCTTTATTAAACCTGCGTCACTTGTTAATAACATTGTCGTTCATGCTCAAATATGAGTGGCAGCATATGTCAAACTACCAATACAAATGCTCATAACTCTGGACTTCATGTTAAAATAGCTAAGTGATCGCTCTGCCAATAATGTTTGTGCTGCATGCACAAGTCAATGCACTAATTGTATTTTGATTGCACCAATAACATACTGCATGAGTTACTTTATGTAGTGCCAATGACGATGGAACTTACTTTTACAACATGTATTGCTTGCCTACATGATTCCAATACAGGCGAATCGCATATCCATAAAAATAATGATTCATTTTATTTTGTAGCAATCACAAACTATATTCAATGCCAAATAATACACGTTCAAACCAATTTATCTTTTGCTCTACTCTATATGTATACATTGTGGATGGGTGAATTTGTAATCATCACCAACAAATACAGATCTGGTCATTATTATTATTAACTTCACAGAACGAACATATAATTTTTTAACCGGCAAGCTAGATTACATGCCTCTACCAACATTACATCTCTATCTCAAATCAAGCTCCATTATATTCATATTCAATGATTTAGGGAACAAAATACATGATAAGAGTATTTGAGAGTGTTTGGAAGATATAATATTTTAGAAGAGGAGTTTTTTCAATAAGGGTGTTTAAACAACGAGGATTTTATTAACCTTGTAAACAGATGTAGTGTTGATCTTACTCTTCCACATCTTATTGATGAACTGAAGTTTACTAACAATTCGAAGAAACAATAATATCGCTTACATAGTTTCCATGATCCATATTGAATGCCTAACCTGCTTATTAAATCAGGATTTATAAAATGATATTTTAAAAATGCACACCCTTTATGGATGAGCTAATCTGCTTGTGTGGCTTCCTAATTTTAATGTGCTATTAGTAATAGCCCTCTAAATTCATATTGATGGATATATACTCTCGCAAATTGGCAAATGCAACTCTTTTGATGTATAATTGAGTGATTGCAAAATGCTCTTTGGTTCATCACCTTTTACATTTTTAATCACTCAACTAAAAATTTCTTATTGTCCTCTTCTTAACTCTTATTGTGAGATCCTGCAGGAATTAATTTTAATCGTGTTCAACAAAACAAGTTCCTTTCTCTAATTGCTTTCGGTAGTGATTAATAAGTTTTGCCCTGTATAAACAAGTAAAATATCTGGCCATCCTGAAGAAGTCAATGATTTTGTTAATTACATTCTGCCCACCCCACACCCTTTGGAAATAAATTGGAAGGAGCCTGAAGTTTGCTTTGACATGTCTTCAACTAAGGATGACTCAATACTTTATAAGCTGAATGTTTCTTATATGATCTGGGTGCAAAATCAATTAAAAGAGTTGCTTGTACCTCTTTCTAAAACTAATATTTGGAAATTGTTGGTTTTCTTTTAGCTTTCTGAACAATCGACTCTT